TAGTAGTTTACAAGTCCCAAGAACGATCGTAGCTCGCTCACATTCTTGGGAACCGGTGCTTCCTGTACAGCCTGGACCTTTTTCCTCATTGTGCTTATTCCAGAACCGCTAACTGTATGTCCCAGGTAGTCCACCTTGTCTTTCATGAACAGGCACTTCTTTTTCGCTAGCCGAAGTCCTCGATCCTTCATGCGCGTTAGTACTTCGTGCAGTCTCTCTAAGTGCGTTGTATCGTCCTCTGCGGTTACCAAAACGTCGTCCAGGAACACGCAGACACCTGGAATCCCTCCCAATAGTATCTCCATTTGTTTCTGGAAGATAGCAGGGGCGGAGGCGATCCCATAAGGTAGACGCTTGTATCTGTAGAGTCCCTTATGCGTGTGTATGGTGACGTACTGGCGAGACTTCTCATTCAACACCAGTTGCTCGTAGGCGTGTCTTAAATCCAACTTAGTGAACTGCCCACCGTTCAAAGTCGTGAACAAGTCACTGGCTGTTGGCAGAGTGTACTGGTCCACTTCAAGTTGTGGATTTACCGTGAGCTTGTAGTCGCCACTGATCCGGACCTCTTTTTCTCCTTTTGGAATGTTGACTGTAGGCGTTGCCCATTCACTGTAGTTTATTGGCTCGATGACGTCTCTTTTTACCATGTCATCTAACTGTGTTTCGATCAGATGCTGGAGTGCATAGGGAACTTTCCGGCTTTTCATGAACTTTGGTTGGGCGTCTGGCTTCAGCTGCAGATTGACTTCAACTCCTTTGAAGCACCCTAGTTCCTCTTTGAAAAGTTCTTGACACTCGGCCAGGATGCCTTCTAAGCAATGCGCATCTTTCACAGTATTCACCTGGAGTGCTGGCATCCATGTCTCGTCCAGGACTTGTATCCAATTTCTTCCCAACAGTGGTGGCACCTCTGCATTAATCACGACTAGTGGCAGCGTCCAGGTCTTCTGATTGCTTGTGACCTGGACATCCGCAGTACCACAGACGTTCAAGCTTTGTCCTGAGCAAGTGCGAAGCTTGGTCCTGAAAGGCTCCAGCGTGCGAATCTTCAGTTTTCCTTGCAGCCGCTTTGGAATCACTGTCTCCGTAGCTCCGGTGTCCACCTCCATCTCCAGAGTCACTTCATTAATAAAGACGCTTTTCTTGAGGGGTGGTACAGTCAGTATTTCCGCGTTTGTTCGCAGGACTAAATATTCGTCCGCTCTCTCTTCCTTTTTCAACTGTTGCACCGCTCCTTTTCCTTTCTTGGCTGGTCCCTTGCGTTTGCCTTTTTCACGCTGATTTGGCGTTTTCCCTCTTTGTTGCACGCTGCTGTTTTTGCAGGCTTTCCGCAGGTGACCCTTTTGTCCACATGCGTCACAGTCGTAGCCCTTGTAGCGGCAATCTTGAGGAGTGTGGTTGGTTTTGAGACAACGCCAGCAGGCAGCGCTTGTACTTGCTAGTTGTTTCACCTCGTCTTCAGCGGTGGCGCGCGCATCCTTGAGAATTTTCATTTGATCCTCAGCCGCTTCCAATCCCGCTACTAATTCCACAGCTCGTGTCAGAGTCAGATTTTCAATTGTCAGGCACTGCTTCTGGGCCATCGTGTGATTGAGACCACAAACAAATCGGTCGCGCAGTTGCTCCTCGAGTTTGTCTCCAAATTGACAGGTCTCCGCCAGCCGTCTTAGTTCTGCCAAATACGTGGTTGAAGGTTCACCTGATCTTTGATCCCGCTTTCCAAATTTGAAGCGCTCGGCTATCACTAACCGCTTAGGCGAGTAGAATCGACTTAGGAGTTGTACGAGCTCTTCATAAGTCCTCTTGCTCGGTTGCTCAGGAGACGAAAGATCCCGAAGTCTGGAGTAAGTTTTCTGTCCGATGGCAGTGATCAAAACAGAAACTTTCATCCGATTGGTCTTGATGTTTTCTTTTTGCAACTCGAAATACTCTTGAAGGCGTTCCTCGTACTCGTCCCAGCTTGTTCCTTCCTCATAAGGTCCAATCGAACGCGATAGGTCGTCCATGATGCACAGTACCTGGTTCGGTCGATTCTTGCCCTGGTAGATCAGGTCTAGGTTGATTCCTCGTCGCCACTTTGTTGTGTTTCTAAGACCATGGAGTACTCGCAGCCGTTACGAATAAACCTTTAGTACATATAGAACAACTATTTACAATCAGGGTGATTCCGGTATCGGCAGACGGCAGCGTTCGGCTGGCTCGCTGGCTCACGTCGGTCGCTCGAGCTCGCTTCTTCCTCGTCGTTCCGTGTGTCTACTTCTGGACACAACAGCCCACAAAAGAAAAAGTATTGTTTTCCGGAAAATATTTTAAGCCAACTTAAAGATATATCGAAAAAATACCAAGTAGCTTAATATTTCACTAAAATTTCCTAATCAAAGTTTCAATTTGCGATCACAAACTAATGGTTTCAATGAGGAACATCATCAAATAACACAAAATCAACTAATTTTAGAAAAATAAAAGACAAGGGCAGCATTGTACAGCGTTCCAAAAAAAAAACTCAATATGGAAATGTTTCTATATTTCGTTTCATTATCGCCGTGCATTGTAGTGCCTGCAGTCCTTCGGCCGGGGTGGCGGAGTCGCGAAGCCACCGCCTCGCCTCCCCGTAGAATGGAGGGAAGTATAAGGAAAAGGTGTTCAGAGTCTCGGCCAGCGGACAGAGAAAAGGAAACAAAACGCGCCTCAAAATTGTCAGCGATGTCGTCTGCCTTTCCTTTGTCCTTGTCGCGCTGTTTTAAACTAAGATGATCAACAATCAACTAGCCCTAACATACATTTCAGCAAGTCAAATGTTGACGTTTTTGTGTATTTTTTTTTAACACCGAAAGTTTTTTTTTTTTTTTTAATATCCTAATGATTCGATTTTAAGGTTTTCGATGATGATTAGCAAGTTTCTAATTGATATAGTATGCTTATCTTTATATTTAAAACGTTGACTAGTAAATATTAGCTAGTTATTTACCAAGGTCGTTTTTTTTTTGTTCTTGAAATTTGTAATATCCACATTGGCTCGCAGTTTGTCTAAAGAAAGAGTTTTATTTTTCTCTTTACCTCAACAGGTGGAGAAAAGTAGGAGACCATCAAGTTCAACCAAATAGCTTAATACAATCTAATCTGCTCATTCACATTAAACAGCGCGCCTACAGCGCAAACTCTTTCCCAAGCGGCGGGGAGAGCCGGTGTCGAGGAAACGCCCAAGCATCAAGTTGGTCATACTGTCGCGTTGCGCCGTATGGGACGCCTGCCGCCGACGCACCGCTACACCGAATCGGCCTAGACATCAGAAACAGATGCCTCTGCTGTCTTGAGGGGTTTTCACTACAGTAGATGGCGGCATCTTCATCTTGCGATTTAAAAAGAAAAACACCGATGGCGTGCGCGTTCAGCCGTTCCAACTACATAAAGCTATCAGGGCCAAAGCAATTGAATTTTTGTGCAGTTAAATGTCTCGCTTATAAAGCGTTTCAGATTAAGTATAGACGCAGCCTAGGCTACGAGCGAATTGGACCAATCAAGCAGTATGGAAAGCACACGTCAGTGCGTCTTCTTTGTTTCTGATTGGTGTTAGCGATGTTAGAACACGCACATATAAAAAGCGAACACCAGGATGGTGCGCTTTGGAAGTTGTCTGACTGGTTCATTCAGCTCGTATTGGCAAAAAAAGGTATTTGGCAATGCGATTACATTATTAAGCGGAGGCTACAGCCTCAGAAGAAGAATTATAACGGGGAACACCGGCGAGACAGAGCCGGCGGCACCGGCAGCCAGAAACTCGCCGGCGGCACACCACGTGACCTTTGGTACCCAAACATGAAACGCCGGACGTTGGCAGTTTACTTTGACGCCTTCCCGCAAGACACCGCAGAATCATTCGCCGGCGTCCCGTCACCCACGTTTTCGGATCCTCCATTTTCCCCGTGGTATTTTCCCAACCGCTTGGATCGACTCGAGTATTGGCTGCTTAAGTGACCTCAGATCAATGTAGTTCTGTCGCTCATCTTTTCTCACTGACCTCAACTTCCATTTAAAGGGTAGCAACACAGTTTGGCGCCCGCTCGCCCGGCCGTTTGGAGCTCGGGCGTGAAAACCTCCGGAAGGCTGCAGGTGCTTGCCAGACAACTTCCACCGGCAAGGTGTGCGCCTGCCGAAAGCTTACCAGGCAAACACTACTGCCCTTTTTTCGGCAAAAGTAATTTGCCGACGGTTTGCCATCCGAATTTGACGTCAAACGACTATATTTCAGCAGTGTCATTGGTTTAATCTTTTTGGCGGTTTTCGTATCAGTTTCGAGATTCAATAGTTGAACCCAATATATACTTTTACAATCATATATTTCCTTTCATCTGAAATTCAAGTGCAGTGGAAAGTGAGAAGACACAAACGCAAGTACAAACCTCCTAACCAAAAATGCAGGGTCACGGCGCCTCCCATGTGCTTGGTTGGCTCAGCCGGTGACAGCATGCATGTCGAAATACGACGAGCGTCGTGATGATGCACTTTTGCCTCTCATTGATTGATTGACTCCATCGAATCGGAGAGGTGATTGAGGTCGGACTTGCGCGAAAAGGAGTATGTACCTAGAAACATCCGTTTCCAAATATTCCGATACTCTCGGTGAATATGCGTAGTTATTCCGTGGGCTGGATGCTCAAACTAATTATTAAATAGTTTCTTTCTGGAACAATAATTTACGAATAGGCGTAATCATAACGGCAAAGAATTGAATGCGGAGAGCAAGTCGTCCGCTTCTTGTGCAGAGGTAGCGGTGACGTCACAACGACGCCAATAGCTGGTTGGCTTAGAATTAGAATATAGTGGGTAGCCCTCGGCGCTAGATGCCTTCAGGTCTACCCACTATTTTTTTTTCATTCAACCAATAAGAGCTCGGCGTTCTGACATCATTGAAACCCATGAGTAAGAAACATACGGCACTTGCACTCTCCTTAGGAATCTTGAAAGAAGCATTCGCTCTCAGCTGAATTCAAACTCACGCGTAATGATAGCAGTGATTCGTGACTCCAGCCATCGCAGAGCCGTCGAAGGCTGTGTGATCGTAGAGAAGTGCAGACCCTCCGTCTTCCCCGACAATCACCTGGATCGTGAGGCGAATAAAAAAACTCTCTGAAGATTGTTTCATAGACCATGGTGCCGCTATGTACTGTGAGTTGCATTAACAATTAAGAATGTGAATATAAAACTAGAAGTAATGAGAAAATATGTTCCAGCGTTCACCTCAAGCTTAAAGGGACCATGAAGGCAGTTTCGAAGTTTTATTCGATGATTGAAATGGATGGCAGGCACGTCTCAGATACTGTTGACCAAGTTCTAGCCCGAACAGAAGTTTGGGTGCCGCACCAATCGAGCAAACAGGCGCGGTAATAATAGCGCCGGGAACGATGTCTGAGACCCCACCGAGGCGGCGGCAGAAAAGTGAACTAAAGTGCGCCGAAGCGTGACGACAACGGGCACCTCGTCTGGCGATTGGTTCAAACGATAGACGCGCTCTTGGTTTCGAATTCGGTGGTGAGATGTGATGAAAAATTTTTATTTCAACGTTGGATAATCTTTTGAAGTTGTAGTTGGGAATTCATAGGTTTCATACCGTGTATAAAAGCATAATCTGAAGCGATCCCTCCGTTTGTCACTGGTGGAACGCCTCCCGCACTGCTACCTCGGGCGCGTAAAAAGCATCGAGAAACCATGGACAAAAAAAGAAAAAGGTACGAGCGCCGGGGGCGGCGGACTTTTGGTTTTGGTTTCGTGCGTCGTCTCGTGTTCGCTTTGCGAACTGGTGTCTCACCAATCATGCCGCGTTTATGTGCAGTAGTAGGTTGCGCTAAAGGTCGGCTAAAAACGTGTGGTCGATCGGGCGACGTTAGTTTGCATAAACTGCCGACCGATGCAGCAATGCGCAGCATTTGGTTGCGCGCCGTCGTCTTGCGTAGAGTTGTGGTCAGCGGTGTCAGGATTTGTTTGTTGCATTTCCGACCAGAAGACTTTGAGCAGCACCTTCACGTCAGCCGGAGTCTGGGTAAAAGTGGGGAGGGGAGTCGCTCTGGAGGCGGCGACCGCGGAGTTGGTGTTAGGTCTAGGGCGCCCTTGTAAAGCGCCAATCCAGAGTTCTGCGTCCTTAGCAGCATCTCCCATTCAGTCGGCGTGAGGTCGCTGAACGGGAGCTCAAACTCGTTTGCGAGCGCGGCGTTGTCGTCCATTTCTTCCAGGTTTCCTTCACAGACCGCCGTGCACTAAAGCGAACCACGGGAACCACACTGAGTGTGCACTAAATCCTACCGATGCCGACAGTGCTCCCTGACGTCACTTCTCTTTCCAGAGGCGAAAAAGGGAAGAAATCGGAATGTTTGTTTCGGTTTCGCAAATTTATTTGCAGGTACAGAAATAAGAGTCACAACGTCCTAGAAAAAATTGTGTGGCATCCCAGGACCCCAATGCTTCCGAAAACACCTTCTTTTTAGAAAAGAATTAAATTGCCTTCATGGTCCCTTTAAAGTCTCAGCAGGACAGAAGAAGGGATCAGTAATAAGGCATCGCCCTGGCCATGTTTTTATTTTTTTCTAAGATGTCTGGTATTTTAGTCGCCGACAGTGTGTGAACGACAATCCGAGTCTCAACGCCTGGCCTCCAGGACGTCTTCATTGACTTCCGCCGTGCTTTGATGTCGCGCGATCACGGTGTGCACGAGATGCCGGAGCGAAGCGTTGCCGAAGGTAGCAGGCCCCCTCTGGACGCTCGACAACTGAAGATCCCCCCTACCATTTTTATCTTGTCAGGGACTACAGTAAGTGCCAAGTTTTCGTAGCCAATCTGCAGCAAATTTAGGACGATATGTACGCAGGTCGACTAGGGAATGTATTTTGTTACTATGATAGAGCGATTTATGTATGCACTTGAACATTACATCTCTAGATTTCTTGCCTAATTTACTACCGCTCTATTGTTAACTGATAGTTCGTGATGCATTCCGAAACACTGTTTCCTCTATTGCTTATCGAGACATGTAAAAATAACTTGGATCTTTGCTTGGCATTGGTCCACAACGGCCTTTATATTTCGGCAAAGGGCTCAACAATAAACAAAAAAATATTCAATGGCCAAGCCGCAGAAAACGCGCTTAAGGCAAAGAGTTTCGTTGATTAACGGAAGGCAAACGAAAAAGGCCTCATGTCGGTACTACGGAGGACACAGCTGGTTTTAACACTGGAAAGTGCTTCGGCGTCAGCCGCTCTCCTCTTACAGACTACGACACGGTGGCGTGGTCGCCAGCTGGAGGGCCGAGGCCACCCCATGCACGGCGCACTTCCACCTCAGCGCATGCGCGGTGCTCGAAATATTCAACAGACATTGGTCGCGTTTTGTAACTTATTATGTGCAGGATGGTACTTCGCGCCTATGAATGTTCCCATGCATTCCAGCGCAGTAGCGGCTTATGCTAGAGGGTATGTGTCTAGAGTATTCAACCCGTCTTGGTGCTTACCTGAACCGGCTTGTCCCACCATCGATTGGCTGCAGATTCGGCGTTCGGACCGCCCTTGTATACCTGCCGGGGCCAGGCCACCTCATAGGGATCCACGTCGTCCAGTCTGCCGTCAAGGCACACCACGAGTGAAGCCCTCTTGATCGCTTCCAAAGACGCTTCGTTCAGAGAATCTGCGTCCCAATGATCGGAAACCATTCTTTATTGTAGTACTGGGTTCCGCTTTGCGATTTTCAATTTATTTTTTTCGAATAAAAAGTCATTGCGTTATTTTTCGGTCTCAAGTTTTTAAGTCGCGAGTTGTGGTGCACTCTCATACTAGCGCGCTGTTTCCGTTAACAGGTTTCTTTTCTTTATAGTTAGTCTTACCATACGCCGGCCTTAAGCGGACGCCATACAAACGAGCCCTTATACTTCGCTTCACACTAAAAACGCTGAAAAATACATTTTTAATGACCTAGAGAAATCATAAATACAATTAAATACACTTTTCGCAACAAGTTTGTTGCTTAATTAAAAGCAACAAAAAATAAATAAAACGCAGAGGAAAATCAGAGGATAACCACGTTCTTTCATTGAGGAAAAACATTTTTTTGGGGGCGACAAAATTGCACCCTGAACGAAAACCCAACTAAGATAGCTTAATAAGGGGGAAGGAAAATTGGGAGATGGAAAGGGGGAGGGAGAAAACGCGAGGCACGGGAAGAACTACGATGATGGTTCGGTTTCGGTGTGGTGCCTCACAGTTTTGTCCTGTCCTTTTTCATCCCCTTTTCACTTTATCTTAGTTGGGATCTCGTTCAGAGTGCAATTTTTCTACATTAAATAAACGTTGTTGCCATCTGAAAGAAAGTGGTTGTCCTGTGCTTGCGCTCCGCGGCATTGATCAACAGATGAACAGCTGCTATTTAGTTCTTTGTGGTTGATTAACGAGTACATCGGGCGAAAGGGTGTGTAAAATAAACGATTAGTGTTTTCTTTCCCTCTTGAATTTGAGCAACAAACTGCGGAACAAGAGAAAGGTATTATAGCATGACATGTATCACTGTATATGGCATGGCGTCTTTCTGAGGCCGTTGAATTAACCAAGCTATCACTCTGTAAACATTTCGCTGTGCCACCAATGATGCTGGGCGTTATAAAGAGAAAAAGGTCAGACACACAGTCCCGGTCAACTGCAGATAAACACGATGAACACGATCACAACACGACTTAAACTACCTTGGCTACTTTGATGCTACTTGTACCAAGGCGTGGCTAGCGCGGCGGCACTACCACAATGACGGCGACACGCTAGGAGCGCGAATAGGCCCTTGCGCAGAGGACTACAGAAAAGAGGTATATTTCGTTGTCACACCATGCCACGAAGCATGCTAGCCATTGTTGCACCAAACTGGGAACGATACGCCTGCACAAAATTGTAACATCACATACAGTAGTCCCTATAAGCACTTTGTTCTTTCGAATTTAGGAAACTTGATGGACCGCTTTCATAAGCGTGCCTTTGTTCGATGCTACAGAATTTCTGCAAAATGACGAACGAAACCCTCAATGTCAGTGCAGACTTCAATCTCTTGCTTAGAATAAAGGGCAGTATTACGCTTGCAGAAAGAAAAATCTATGAAGTATGTGGTGTCACAATTTTGACACTGTTTAAATGCTTCGGCGTTTACTATAAACCATATAGCCGATCCTCGCATGGGCGCTCTAATATTGGGGTCGCGTGATGTGGCCGCCATCAGGTTGCTTCAACATCTCGCTCCGCTTTCCCCTACGAGCGTGGGCGGATACGTTGAATCCGAGTGGCCTTTCAGCACACGTTTTTGCCTTGCTTCGGAATGTTTCGTCGGGTATTTATATTTACTATTTAATTGTATCACATTATTATCTACACGTAGTTTTAAGTTATTACAGTCAGCTTACGTGGCGCACAGGAATAAAAGCCACCACTGATGAACATTGAGCATACAAATTACTCGAAAACAGCACTTTCACAGGAGGATTACTTTCGACAACTCAGGCTTGCTTACTGCAAGCGGCAGCACATTCATAGTAAAGCGCGAAGAATGATGCAAAAACCAGCAGCATAGGGAGCCACTCTGTGTTATTTCTGAAAGCATTTCCTTTTTTTTTTTTTAAATATATAACAGATCAAAAACCGCTCAATATAATTAAAGGGGGAGCTTCTGGAATAGAAAACCGACGAAATTTTAACGCGCATTTTCGCGGCTTGGCATTATAGTACGTAAGCATGAGGGAATTTCTTTGTTCATATTATTACGCCTTCATGTGTTGACGTTGGTAATCGTTTTTGCAATATAAACCTTTCCTTGATTGGTTTATTTACAAATTAAAAAAAAAAATACTTGTGGCGGTCAATCGGCCTACCAAGCCGCATATAAAAGACGACGACGTTACTCGTCGATGCGAGCCCAGCGGCACGAGAGAATAAACAGAACGTGTTCACCTAAGCTCGGAGTCGGTCGCACCATCTATTCCGTCCACGACATCGAACGCGCTACATACTAATACAGGGCCTCCGTCCAATGCCTGCAGTATTTCGTGTTTTAACAATATGCTGAAAAATCTAGTTTAATACAATAAATTTATTTAAATATAAAGGTTAGAACTTCCGACACAAAACACTGCCACAGACAACTTGGGAGTGCTTCGGAGCCGCAAAAGTTCACACCGAGAAAAAGCCGCCTCCATAAAATCATTTGTGCGCGTCGTTGTCGAGGCCGAATAGAGGTTTGCTTTTACTGGCTGGCGGCACCGAAATTCAAAAAGAGCATCTGTTTAAAAAATGAAGATATATGTACAGAAATCCATGAAGTGGCGCCTGGCGTTCGATATGAGCCATGCGTTCTGAGGTCTTTTTTCTTACGCCCTGTAATTTTACTTGGGGCAAAGCAAAATTTCAGCCTTAATTTGACGGGCTTGTCATTCATGGCATATTTTAAGTACGCAGTATACGCATGTCCGTATAACAAATAGTTTATTTCCTAAAACCAATGTTCTGCAATGCAGTTCTATAGAACCTTAGCGGGGTACATAATGTATGAAATGTCCTACTTGGTTTATGGCGAAGATGGAAATATTTTACAATTACTTTTTTTTTATCGGAAAGTGTCCGAAAATTTTTTTTAGGTAACTATATATTGTTTGCGTCAATATAGAAAACTCTCTACTTTGCGAAGTTCTCAAAAAGGTAACGTCTACGGGATCCAGGCAGTGATAAGTAAACTTTCAAGTTCATGAGTTCTTCACGATTTAGATTTGTTAATCAAGTTATGGACTTGCTTAATCACTAAGCAATTATGCACTAGTATTTTTCCTGGTTGTATTTGTTTCCAGCCAGTGTCATCAGACACGGTTATAGACGATGCTAGTCCTCCCTGTGAATCAGTTCAAAGGTCTCTTCGCCGAACCCAGCATTAACAAGAAACAAAACCTGATGCATCAAACGTGTTCCAAAAAATACCTGCGATGTGTGTACAAAACAACTTTGTGGTTCTAAATCTAGCCCGGTACCAATGTTCGCATTTTTTCCAGCCTAAAAGGAACACATTTTTATCATAAAATTAATCAAAAACGACATATTGCAGCAACACAGACGCGTACACTTTGAATCCGAAACCAATCAGGTTGAAGCAACCTAATGGTAGCGAATGCGTAACAGCTCTCTATCCACTGGTCAGGCAACTACTTTGATGTAAAGATCTCGAACATTGCTACCCTCCGACGTCTGCAGCCTTACGCAATGACTTGCACGTACCCTGGTATTAGTTGTCCTGCCATTGCGCAGTGGTTCCGACCTTCTCACAAATGGCAAAGTGACTTTCGAAACAGGGTCTCTTGCGTAAGAATAAAAACAACTCTGAGCCATCTACTCTATGAGGGTGGATGACCTGCGAATCTGTTTAGCACACCACGCAGGCGTAACGCAAAATTTTGAACAAAGCTACGAACATATGTATTGCCTAGATCGCTGGCCCTCATGAGGAAGGTGCGCACCCACATGTCCATGGCTATCGACGCCCCGAGGAGCCGGAGGAAACTAGGCACGCGCGACGGCACCGCCACCCAGGGGAAGGAAAGGAAACTAAGCACGCAAGCGCTATGAACGACGACAACTAGAAAGCGAGCGCTTCCCTCCTCGTCCTTTTTCCCGGTAATTTCCCCGCTATATTTAGCGGGAAAATTTCCCTGCGAAACATAGCTGGGAAATTGTTCCGCTAAATATTGCGGTGAACTTTTTCGACTAAACTTGCCTGGGAAGTTGTTTTAATGAGATTGACGGGAAAATATTTGCGCTAACTTTAGCGGAAAAAATTTCCCGCTACACTTTGCAGAGAATATTTTTCAGCTAATATAGACGGGCAAATTTTTGTGCTACATTTAACTGGGAAAATAGAGATTTTTTTGACGTGCACGAAAAATCCACGGAACCCAGCCATAAAGAGCGTCGTTGCAAAAAAAGGGCTGAAATTCTATTCGACAACCTATTCCACCACATTTTTTTTCACCTAAAGTGTCGACGCAGCAGGTGCGACGAACTATTGGGATCGATCAGACAGCTTCCAAAATGCACTTGCTTCTGTACAGTCGGGGACAAAAGTCCCCAGGACGTGCGATCTGCGGCTGAAAAGCATTGCTCTGCTATCTGCCTGCGGGTCGCCTGGTTTGTAGATCCTGCAAAACCGCATGCGCGTCCTACTCTGCCTGCAAAGATGTGTGTGTTCCCGCTCTTCTGTGGCACGGCACCTAACTAGGAATCGGGCACGTTGTGTCGCCTCGGAGATAGTGCTGGCGGCAGACGAGCGTCTGCTACATAATGCGAAACTCGAGATACCGCCTGGGGCATTGCGCCGCATTTGCCGTGTCAGCGCACCTTGCATTATAACCAGTTCAGCTTATCGCTCATTTGACCTGCCGTGACTTCTTGCTTTATAGGTGCCATGTCAGTAAGCACTCTCTCCGACGCGGTACCACGCGCCCGATTCCGAGTTAGCCGCCGCGGCGCAGAAGAGCGGGAAAACGGACATGCTGGCAGGGAGAGTAGGACACGCGTGCTCGTTTCTGTGATCTCGAAACCACGCGACCGGCCGGCAGATGGCAGAGCAATGCGTTTCTGTCGCAGCTCGCGTGTTCTGGAGACATTTGTCCCCGACTGTACGTACGTGTTCTCACATTGCTGAACCAATCATAAGCAGAAAAGGCCTAGCGACTTGCGCTTCTTACGCTGCTTGATCGACGCCCTTACCTCGTAACGTCGGCTTTGTCTACATTTAAATTTAAACGAAGTATAGTGAAAATAACTTAATACGCGAAATTTACTGGCCTGTGCGCCGACAGCTTAAAGGCCGGCTCCCACATACACTCTCAAGAAAAGAGTGTGTGAAAAGGTGTATTCTTACACCCTTTGTACCATATAATACACCCCTAAACTTCAATTCGACGTACAGTGCCCTACAGTCGAACAGACGGCTCGAAATTTTACGAGGGGCTTTATAGCCGTGTGGTACAACTTATTCAAATAGCAAATATATGTTTTACTGAACACGAAAAAAATAATCCGGGTTTTTTTGACCCTGCTGTAAAAACTCGGTATTTTTTATGTGGTCTTTGATACGTACTTTACCTATTTTAATAATAATAATAATATTAATAATAATAATAATAATAATAATAATAATCTTCATTTGCTCAGGAGAGCCGCGGCACCGCAGAAAGGCAACAGCCCGTACCAAGGAGGCCCGCGGTGCCGCGTCTAATGAAGGGGATTATATGATGATGTAATATACAAGATGAGATTGCTTATGATTAGGTATGTGCATTAGGCCTAATAGCATTCTTCGCGGTTGTGGTCTTCGCGGTGCTGCCATTGGCTGCTTACTTCTAGCAGGCCGGTCTCGAACACCTGGAGTCGGCTTCTCGCGTGTCCGACCTGCATAGTAGCCGGCCGAATTACCGGCGACGCAGGGAATCCATCACCCCCGCGGGCGGGCTGCAGGGGTTGGCGCCGGTGTTGGCCGAGCGGCGGTCTTTACGAAAGCGTGCCTTGGAGTCTTTCAGCCTGCGGTCCAGCTTGTAACTGAGCAGCCTGAGCACCATGTCGATCGAAAGCATGGTCTGTGCCACTGGTCCGGCTGGCTTTCGGACGATCGAAAAGACACGTCTTACGCCCAGTTGGCTTCTTCTTCCTTTCGATAATAGGTTGTACCACACGGCTATCAAGCCCCTCGTAAAATTACCGGGCCCTCTGTTCGACTGTAGGGCACTGTACGTCGAATTGAAGTTTGGGGGTGTATTATATGGGACAAAGGATGTAAGAATACACCTTTCGACACCCTTTTTTCTTGAGAGTTTAGAGTGGACACTCATATTAGCGGCGAGACGTTTTGGTGGCGCTCTCGTATGGTTCCCTCTCGTGACGTCATTACCTTGCGAAAAACAAGTTCGATGGTGTTTGTAAATAGCATGGTGGAAGCCTGAAATCATTTCGCTCTCAAAGCAACACTGCCAACACCGTCGAAATTAAAGTTCTTTCATTCCTCTTATTTCCGTCGATGGTATACCCTTTCCGACGTCATAGACAGCTTTTGGGCCAATCGTGGAAGGTAGAGTGCCTTCATACACAAGCGCGCTTTTGCTTGAGTGGTGACATCTCAGCCATTTTTCCGCCCAATCGTTTTTTTATGCATCTTGAAGCGCGTACAGTCTGGTGCCACTCAGCTCGAACGCGTAGCTTTGACTAATGGATAAGCGCCATTTTACCGCCCAAGTCACGCACCGAGTGCGCGAGAGCATCATGCCCTGGCACATTCAGGGCAACAATGGATGTCTTCACACTCAGACAGACAGACATGTAGGCACCCTAGTGGAAGGCCGACCACAGCGACGCTTTCGGTCGCGGACGTCGCCAATAATGATCATGGTGGAAGCTTGACATCACAGCGCTCTGGTGCCAACATTGCCAACATGGTCAATATTGAAGTTCTTACATTCCCCTTATTTCCGTCGATGAGAATTCCTTTGCTGACGTCATAGTCAGGATTCGACCAACCGTTCACGGCCGACCACAGCGACGCTTTCGATCGCGCACGTCGCCAATAGCGGTGTTCACGTGTGGTCAGCCACTTATCGTCTCCCATTATCAACAGTTTTGACGGTGCGATACATATATGGCGAACGCTCCCATAAGCACGCGTTTTATGATTGAAAAGTTCTTTAGCGTAGTGGAAATTGCTGGTCGCTCGCGCACAGTTTCTGGCTTATTATCTTTGTATAGGGAGAGATGGCGGATCTATCGGTCCTGGAAACCCATCGAGATAGCGGAGACAACCATCTCTGCTGTCTCGGCGCTGATGGCAGCCCCCTCTTTCGGCGAAGCTCGAAAGCGCGAGAGCGGAGTTGATGCGATGCGCTTCCGATCTTTCGGACGCCGAGCGTCCAAACTCCTCGCGGAAGATTTGGTTCGTTAAGCGCACAGTCCAATGCATGAGCGAAGTAGGATTTATTTTCCTCGTAAAGTACATGATTCGACTTGAAACTCACTCTGGCCAAGACTGGCGTACACCTTCGCCCAGACGTTCCTGTCTTCCGCCGTCAGAATGCCCACGCCGACGTCCTTCTCGGGAGACATTTCCACGACTCGGATGAGCTGGGCGAGGATCCTGCTTTCGTCGTGGGGCACTCCTTGGGCATCGTACGCGTTGAAGGTAAAGATCTGCGTGGCACAAAACTCGCACTCAACTTCCAGGCGCAAAGGACAAGGAGAAATTAATGGTATCTTATTTTCGTTTGCATGGATCTGTATCGAATTGCGAAATTGAAACTGTTTTTTTACGGCCCGCATTTGTAAACTATGCTTCACCCAAACTCTTCAAATCGGTGTAAATTAACGCTGACAAATAGTACAAGATGCAAAGTTTTCTTGTTTTTTTTCTAACATGTCGTAGATCGGATGAAGAATAAAACAGATGTAAGGATTTGTTTTTGCTCAGAGGTTTATTTGTTAGGAGTAAAATATATAAATAGCATTCTGGTCGTCAGTACAACCTATTTTAGTGAATCACACAGCTGAGCAGAAATAAAACTAAACGTCTTCCTCGCTGACCAGATCGTTTCACTGAAATAAATACCAACTGCGCTCGCATTGTCATTCATTTGTTTGACCACTATTAGGCATGGGTGGACATTGGTTGATAGAACCGATTTCGTTTTGGGCTATAGTTTTTCTTATATATGTAACGTTCTGTCGTTATTTTTTTTTTAGCTTGCTCATTTTATCACCACCTATAGAGTCGCTCATTCACACGAAATTTTAGCATTCTGCGGTGCTTATCTTTATATGGAGGTAAAAATCCCGGATTTCATTTCGTTTTACTCCTCAACTAAACTGGTGTACACTTAGGGTGTGATACATTTAGCACAGGAAACGCGGCCCTCGGTTTACTTCAAATTTCCATCTCAGCTGTAAGCCAGTACAGCGTCTTGGGTTTCTCCGGATTCAAACTTAAATTGGTCTAAGACAGTTGGCAAGAACATTAGCTTCTTTATATAGTTAAAATAAGGCCGGAGAAGGGCAGCAGTCTCCGTAGTCTGGTGCTATTATGTTGTGAAGTCTCCATGTGCAGTCTCTGTGGTTATCTTGCGCCGTATTCTCTTTATTTATTTATTTATACTACTGGTCCTTCTTCAGGACCATTGTAGGAATGGTTACACTCCTGAGATTACAAAATAGCCATCAAACAGACAAACCCTCGTGCGCAGGGTTACACCGACGTGGTGTGAACTGGTGAAATCGCCAGGCGATACTGCAACCCTACGAGAGAGAATCCTCCGCGATGCGATACTGAGCCATGAGGCTGTTATCCAATGTTACGCAATTTGGATATTGCGCGTAACTGATGCAAGCGTGCGGCAAGTTCAGTCGACGATGTGGCACCCGAATCGGGTTTCTTGATCCGATGCTCTCAGGAGCCGATAGATTTGAACGCAGAAATGTTCTCTCGGGAGTCGCAGTATGTTGCAGCTTGCATGACCAAAGCAGTCATCTAAATGTCTCGATCGGTGAAATGTCAACCTGCGGGCGTCTAACTTATGAAAAATTGCTCTATTCATTTCGATTTGCTTGATGAGCGACATTCGTGGAGCGCTCATCGACCACTGGACGGTTGGGATCAATACAGACGTCTTTCGCGCGTCGCTATGGAGGACACTCGACCACATATCTGGAACTCAATTGCCGAGATTTCGGTCCGCTGAAAATTAAAAATGCCACCGGAAGGAGATATCTATGCACCACGTGCCTTCAACTTCGTACCCCGTGCTTTGACCTCCGATGCGCCAACAGACTCGGCCACCAATATCGTTTCGTTATTACTCCGTCACCGATCGCCCTGGCGCTAATTGTAGTGCAGCATTGACACGGGGATACTTTGCAGGGAGGAATGTGCCTGACGTCATTGCTCGGCGGAAGAAGCGGGACTCCCTCCAGGACTCCAGCATTCACACGAACCACGGGGAGCCGAGGGGGTGTCTGTGTTATCAAGCGCTTTTAGCGGTGACATTTTCGATAAAACGACTCGGTGCGCGTTGCCGAAAGTGTAAAAATGAAGGCGTACATGAGGCGGCGATACGCAATTATGGTATCAGTGCTGTTGGATACTTCAGGATTATCTGGTGAGCTAGTTGGTACAACATATCATGAAGTATATAGCGCAACACAAAAAGGAACAGAAATGCTTCTTGAAGGGCTGGATGCCACAAAAAAGAACGTAGAGCCCCAACCAATAGTATGAAGAGCGGCTTCAGGACATTGATGAACATCAATAACTCCTTCGGGTGCCTCGGACGACACACGCAACATCACAAGCCACGGGTGTCGCTATGCCTATGCCACCACCAGTATCCCGCTGAGGAAGGTGAATAGAGTTGCCAGACACGCGAATAAAATACCGCCATTTTCATATAGATCCCACGCCAAGGCGGGGACACGAGCAAAATCTCCCCCGCCCCCTGAGATATTGACGTAAGCGCGGCTTTGCGCTAAGTTGTGACGCTGTTATCACTTGACACGCAACCCTGGATGCCAAGGAAGAAATTTCTTCACCCTGTGATTGGATGGTTTTAGGATATTTTGGATCAGATTAGATTACATAGGTGTAACTGCTGAAGGCAGCAAAAACTATAGCTAGGGCTTTGTCTTCTCTGATTCTCTCCTGTCCTTTGCTCTCACACACCAAACATGCAGCAGTTACACATACGTAATATAATCTGATCCAAAATCTCCTGAAACCATTAAGTGACAGGGGAAGCAAACTAAAACAGTTTGCTTCTCCTTTGCCAGGATGTATAAGGCGAGATATGGGTGTCCATTATGATGAATTGATTCACTCCTTAGTGCGTCGAAGTTACCGATTTCGAAAAGCTGAGACAGAAATAGATCTAAGCGCTTAACCTCTCCTTGGCGACGCGATCGTTAGGCAAAAAAAAAAACATGGGTTTTTTATCACCACCAACTTTTGCAGAATCTCGCATATCGGTGAAACGACATTCATGATTATGATATGTCACTTTTAATGAACACAGCAGGGTTATTATTTACTTCGTTTTTATTTTCTTTAGTGTGAGATTCGTTACCTATATTAAAGCCCCTCACAGCTGCTTGTAAAGGTTTATAATAATATATTTCAGTGCGCTTCGCTACACGCATCTCTGTCACATTTGGTGCTACGTGGCTGTCTTAATCTAGTGCCTCTGGAAAGTTCCATCCTGCCACCTCGGTTATTCTGTGCACGTTGCATATAATTTCTTATGGATCTCAACCGAAGGAACATCCTTTTTAACTTTCACCAAAACCTTTTTCTAAAGCGATGATACATATATTGGACTCCTAGATTCGCCTTCACCGACGGCGCATCTTGAAATTTGCAGAGTGATCATCTTGGTAGGTCTCTAGAGAAATATGTGGCTTATTGCAGGATTAAGACGGCACATTACCTGACATCGATTGCACCCAATGGAAGTTCAGCGCACACGTACCTGGCCATTGTGTATGGCTACCACGTGTTTTCCAGATTTCTCGAGGGGCGTATTGAAATCCAGTTGGTCGCAGGCTATAGCAGGCGTGCGGTAAACACTGAAGATACGCTGGTATTGCGACATGTCCAAAGGAGCTTTTCCGCTGACATCAGGCGGGAGATGTTGTCTGCGTGGAAATATGATAAATTAGAAGGAATCAGATGTTGCACATATAAAAAAATTTCAAAACCGCATCTACCGACATTGGTAACACACACGTCCTGGACACAAAGCCTGAGATTAGATCCGAGTTCTTGCTTAACGCTGACGCCGCCACTGTGTCCGACGCCTGGCCAGAGTAAGTAACGGGACATTGGCTGACTCGAATTATTTGTGCACCGCCTCCTAGATGGCGCCAACATTTATTAAGTAACAACAAATAATTATAATTTGCGGGCATCTTTTAACTCCGATTCCCACAGACCCTGTCTCCGGATAAATATGACACTGAAATACTTCCCTCTCGGCAAAAGGGTTTATTCACTCACTCATTGCCTTGGGGGGTTTCGGGATCGGGGGACGGTTATCAGCGAGGCCGGGGGAAAGTCCGCTGCCACAGCAGCTTCTCCAAGTCCCAGCGGTGGTCGTCCCCACCGCGTCACGGGGACGTCGTCGTCCACGGTCGCTGTTCGGTCCGTTTGTCGAGTCCGCCACTCGACGAAGTGCCCGCACTTTCCTCGCACCTGCGTCCGTCTCCCGCCAAATCCCGCGCCAGCGTCTTCGTCTCCTTGTCACCGCTGCACCATCCTTCGGGTCCCGCCGTTCGAGAGCGCTGCCGTCCAAGAGAGCCTTTCTTTTGTCCGGCTTCCCCTTTTCAAGCCTTGGGTCCTTTCTTCTGGGGAGCCAGTCCCGTGACGTCAGACGGCTTAGGGGAGTGGTCCAGCCGGACCTTGTGCTGCGCGAGGCCATGGCCAGTCCCCCGAGGCATGACGCATGTCATAGGCATCGAGTGCGAGTTGCCGGAAATTCGGGTCCGGAGGTTCGGCGCGGGGGAGGGCAGCCAGATCTTCACACCTCCCTCCCCTCAAGGCTCGGACTCAGGGGGACCCAGGGTTCCGTGGTCCCCAGGACCTCAGGCAGGGAACTCGTTCAGCTGATAGTCACTGATGACGACGAGCACCCTCGATGATGATGATGGCATCAAACCAAGCAGGTCAGCGGTGAACGTCCATTCACTGGGAAGCTCGTGATCGACGGAGCACGGTCCACGAACTGGCCCGGAGCACCACAGCTCACAACACGGACGGGCGCTCAGGCACACACAACACGCCGGCTCTTAAAGTTCGCTTCCGTCCCCAATGTAACAGACAGGGAATCGCGCAAAAACGAATACCGGCACGCTATACAGACAGCGCGACGAAACCAAAATCTTTCGATCTATGGACATGCCACAAAATAAAAACAAAACTCTTCATTTCAATACCAACAGGCAGGCAATTATCAAGAACGTCACGCTACACGTTCAAGAGGTACCTAAGAGGAAATCTATTCCTGAACTAAAAAGCGTGAGCATTCATTGTATACTCAAATCGTACATACGCCCACTATACAACATTTGCTCCTATCAAACTCAACCGCATTCTTTTAAAGGAGTAAGCAATCTACCAGAGCCTCAGAACCGCACACCTCTGACAACATTATTAATCTCCAACACATTCGCGAAGAACGTACAAAACCTCAAGAACTAACAATAACCTCCCGTAAAACAGAAACGGCCACAAATCCTGTCCCGTTCGCGAGGTTCGACTTATAAGGAACACGCTGGCAACAGTAGCAATTACCCAAGACAGGCACCCATGCACTCGGCGTTCGCGACACCCGAGCTACAAAATCGCTACAGCCAAGCTACGCAGCACACCTTCATCAGAAGGTGTAATCACCTTACTGAGAGGCCGTTGTTCCGTGGTACCGGCCACTTACGCCAGTAGAAAGGGAACAGTACCTAGATCGTGCGAACAGCAGATCTCATTGGAAAGCCTATTTACACGGCTTTGGCCGTAACGTCTGGGCATGTACCAGACGTTACCGCTTCACCGCTCGGAGGTAACCACCCAACAGGAGCGACGAGAGCGTAAAGGCGGTCCGCACCGAACCCCGCACGGGCTCGACAACCGTGATAAGCGAATTGACGCACGTTAGAGTTCTCCCCCGGCCGAACCCCGACACCGCATACCTAAAAAGTCTTCCAACTGATGTCAAGGCCGGCCGGGATCGAGCAATAAGTGTATGCCGTCAACGCGTGTCGCGACTCTTCAACGTTCTCGAATCGAGCAACGTGTCCACATACAAACGCAGTAGGTTTGCACAAAGCTCGCCCCCAGCCAAGTCAACACGCTGCATGACTGAAAAGTCTTCTTGCGACTGTGAGGACAGGCAGAGTTCGAACAATAAGAGTCTCCCACACGCGCACCTCTCAACATCCGCGCAACGAGCGCGATACCGAAATGCCAAATAATCTAACCGGCCAGTCTTGGAGATGGACGAGCTAATAAACTATATTTGCTCTGCATAAACAGTTTCCGCAGCGTCGAAGTGTCTACCGCGTTTACCGCCGCATTCCAACACCCGCTACCCATTCATGCTAAGGCAGCAGTTTGTACAGCGACGGGCTGACCCAACGCAAAACAGTCATAGGCTGCCGACGGCCATGCCGCTGCCATAATTTCTAGGCTTCCCGGGCACGCACCCGCCGACGTGAACCGTACGTTTTCCCGGGCCAACTGCGCATCTGTACAGGATAAAACTATGAACAACTCGTCACATTATCGCAAGACCGCCACTCCCCTCGTGCAGGTCTTCACTGCACGAGAACAGCTCTTTCCTCACCTAGCTATCTTGTCTCCCCTAAATTTATAATTTATGTCTAATCCGGGTCTCTGCACGACCAATTACGCTCTCTACGCCTTCGCGTCCCAAGGCGAACCCAAACACGGCCGAGAGCCGTACTGTATACGGCGGCAGCGCAAAGCGCGCGCTAGCCGCCGCTCCTCCGGAGGCGGAGCAAACTAGATGAAAGAGTAACTCCCGCCGCGAGGCTTAACCATCGATATGGCGGTGTGAGGATGCGGAACCAACTGTGCGCACAATTAAACGGGATCAACCTCACGACCCTACAACCAGAAACGCACGGGTGATGCCCACCGCGTCAGACTGGACTCCACGGAGCATTCATTACACACGCACAGCCACTGATAAAGTGAAAACGGAAACTCTGTGGTTTTCGGGATTCCGATGTCCACGCACCGGACATCGCGTACCCGGCCGGATTTAGTGGGCTCAGCCCCTAAATGTAGTCTCTGGCCACAAGGTACTCGTTCAAAGCGATCTTGGTCGGAACCACAAGAGCGCATCCGTACCTTAAAACGCTGTCAACTAACGACGCTCAAAACCGCGCCGACAGCACAAGCAAGGCCAACTGGCAGCTAGCATTCGATCAAACCGAGACGCTAGTCTCCTTCCGGACAAAATGCAATGCGGCAATAATTTCCAAACACAGTACATGCAACCGCCACCCGCAATGGGTGCGTTCTCCACCCGGAGCGATGCCTCTCTAACGCGTCCGATCGGTAACAAGCGGTTCAAAACAATACATCGACTCGCGAGCAAAGGCGGTTAGGCGCGTCACATCCCTCAAACGTTGAGCCGGCATCTTTTCCAGCAGACATGGACGGCCGGAGGCTTAGGTGGGGTGACGCCCGACGCTACATGCCTCGAGGGGTGCGGTAATTTCGACGCACATAGCGCTCTTGCATAGCAGGATCAACCTGCCAGCACCCAACCGTGCGCTGAACAGCAAATACTCAAGTCGCTTCTCGTAACGGAAGATAAGTAAATTCCTGACTGGCTGGGACAAAGGGTTAATCCCTAAAGACAACGGTCAAGGTCCGCGCCTCCTCCTCAAGCAGGCGATAATGTCAGGACCTTAGTGCGGCGTGCCCGCAACGAAACTTCGCGCGGCGCTCCCGCAACGAAGATGACCCCCAAAAAGAGCGCGAAACAGTGCCCCAATTCAACCGGAAACAGGTTAGAAAATCGGAATGCCTGCCTGATCAAAAATGAGGCCCCACGTTGCGCGCCAGTTTATGCGGACATCTTCTAACTCCGATTCTCACAGACCCTGTGTCCGGATGAATATGGCACAGCAATACTTCGCTCTCGGCAAAAGGGTTTATTCACTCACTTATTGCCTCGGGGGGGTTTCGGGATCGGGGGACGGTCATCAGCGAGGCCGGGGGAGAGTTCGCTGCCACAGCAGCTTCTCCAAGTCTCAGCGGTGGTCGTCCACACCGCGTCATGGGGACGTCGTCGTCCAGGGTTGCTGTCCGGTCCGTTTGTCGAGTCCGCCACTCGACGTACTGCCCGCACTCCACGCGCCTGCGTCCGTCTCCCGCCAAATCCCGCGCCAGCGTCTTCGTCTCCTTGTCACCGCTGCACCATCCTTCGTGTCCCGCCGTTCGAGAGCGCTGCCGTCCAAGAGAGCCTTTCTTTTGTCCGGCTTCCCCTTTTCAAGCCTTGGGTCCTTTCTTCTGGGGAGCCAGTCCCGTGACGTCAGACGGCTTAGGGGAGTAGTCCAGCCGGACCTTGTGCTGCGCGAGGCCATGGCCGGTCCCCCGAAGCATGACGCATGTCGGAGGCATCGAGTGCGAGTTGCCGAAAATTGGGGTCCGGAGGTTCGGCGCGGGGGAGGGCAACCCGATCTCCACAAATTCCACTAGATAAAGGTATATAAAGCTGCCTTGTAGTGGAGTACCTCACCTTTCAATTAAAAGCTTCAAATCCAGTGCACCTGCTGCGAGCGCGGCTGCCTGCCTGCAAAGCATATACACAATTCTATCAGTTTGAGGATTAAGCATGCCGCGGAGAAATTAGGCTATAATAAAAGGTGAAATATACCTGAGTTGATTTTCTTTCGAAGGAAATTTGTTTTTCGGAAGACACATTGCCAGTGACGTGCTCGACATGGGAAGCCTAGACTTCAAAAAATGTGCAAGAGATATTTCTGAAAACTAAAACGTTTTGTCAGTCATCAGAGTGCTCAACTGTTAGAATAAAAAGTTAAAGTTAATTAGGGAAACAATACAGACAAAAGTGGATGTGCTCACCCAGTTTGGATTTCGAGAAGCTCGCTCTACAAGTAGCTTGTGCAGAATTTCTCCGTCGCCACCGAGCTTTCCAAAGTCCTGAACAACCTACCAACAGTATTTTATTACAAGTGTAAGATTGCGTTCTCTACAAAATCTATTCGTTTCCAGCAAAAAGACACGGGCGCCCGCTTTTATCTCTTAGAGGTTTTACATTCGTATTGCTAAAAAAAATAAGAGGTGACACCAAAGGGGCATGTTCTCTTTTTATTCTCGAGGAATAGTTTAGCAGGAAAACCCGCCCCCCCCCCCCCCCCCTTGCGGTTTATTATAGAAAGTATATTCTGGGGGCATCAGTGAGCCCACGCCAAGATGGATCGAAAAAGCTGGTCGTGACATCTTGATTGCTTCGCAGTTCAGCGAAATCAGCCATCAACCAAGGACATGCCGTACTTCAAATCATACGCCTCGATGCGTTCATTTGAAAGATGTTGCATCCCGTAAATGACTTCAACTACCATGACTATGGCGAAACCTTTCGAGAGAGCGTCTGAAGCACAAAGTAGAAATGTCTGGAGCCAATTAGCGCCTTGTTTGCGGCCCGCGATAGCCACCTGCGACTCTCACGGGAAGCTCTCGTGTGCAATCTTCTAAATCGTTGAGTTTCTGCACTAGCCTAAGAAAGGCAGACTGCATGTGTTACACAAGTGTACCACAAGGGCTGTCCTAGCAGGACATTCTTTTTGCTGTGCACGGCATTAGCTGGGCAGAAGTGGTGTTTTTAAAGCTCAGCTCTTGGGCGCCCGTGTGCGGCTTGAGCAGCGTCGGCGTCGCCGTCGGCGTAACCGCGCGGAGCATTATGTGTAAATTTCCCCGTTAAATCAAGCGGGAAAATTTCCCTGTTAAATCTAGCGGAAAAATTTCGCCGCTAGATCTAGAGGAAAAATTTCCCCGCTAAATCTATAGCGGAAAAATTTCTCTGGAAGTCACGTGACCCCCCCCCCCCCCCCCCCCCCCCCCCACCAAGAACATGTGGCCCTGAGTACCCTTCCCTCCTCGAGATCTGCGCTCTAATTCCGCGTTACAAAAAGTTGTAAACGGCTTTCATTTTTTTTTTATGTTTCACTTCCGGTTTGTTTTGGGGCCTTTTAACAAAGGGGAAAATCACCCTCCATTAGCCTTGTTGCACGAAACGTTGGAGCGTGCTCATGACGGAGAGCAGGCCGTTTCTACTCGCACGGCCTTCTGGCTCATCAAGGCTTCCATTGGTGTTGTCAGTACCCGGCCTCCCAAAAAGAAGAAAGGCGAGGAGACGAGAGAGAGAAAGCGAGAAGAAAAGCCGTATTACGCTGTACTGTTTTAAAGCCCCTTTATGTTGATTCACGAGGCACGTGAACGGGCAGCTCTTGGGAAGATCATGGCGGTACAGCGTAGCACTGACAAAGTGTAGCACTGAGCTAGATTTCAGATGCCATGTTCTTCCCAGAAGTGGAGCGCGGCTCGTGTCTCGAGCATTTTCACAACAATGAATGGCGCCACTTTTCTCAGGATAGAAGGGTCAGTCTGTTTGAGTGGTTAATGTCCTCGGTGAAAACGAACACGCACACCAAAACGTTCCCTTTCTTTTGTAGCGTGAGCTACACTGGCCGAGGTTGAGCAGTTTCGCGTGGCTCGCATAATAGGCCGTGCTCCGTGCTGCGCGAGCTCGAGGAGCAGTGACGTCACACGGCGCACAGCTGGCGGGGTGGAGCCGCCGTCGCCGCCCGCGGGCTCCGCCGCCACCGCGGGCTCCGTCGAGACCGCGCTCGCCTCGGCGGTCTTCGCTATCCAGAGGAGTGACATCATAGCCGATGCAGACGCACTGGCGCCGCCGCGTGCCCAGCTGTGTGCCTCCGTTGCGCAGTATCCAAGTCTGACGCTGCACCGGAGCTGCTTGATAGCGCCTCTCCTTTTGTGGATAAGCTCACGCTACGTATGGAAAGCCCATAGAGGGATACTAAAATAAAAGAAATTAACAAAACTATATATATATATAATATATTTTAATGGTTTCCAAGACACGGACACTAAAGAAATGCCATGAAAAAAATAGACTGATACTTACGACGCTAGGCGCAATTCAGATGGAGTTCCCCACCCACTGGTGGCCATGTGCACAAACGGTGGCCCCACCCATTACTATTGGATTGGCTTGGCTTCTCGGCTGAACACGTTCGCAACTCTAATGTCCTGTCGCGACGTCCGGTGCGTCTAGCCTGCCGTCTCACAAGGTTTGCTCGTCGCGTGGGCAGACGCGCAGTAGCGTACTGCGTCACCTTCTACTAGAACCTACCACCTGGAACGCCCGTAAAACCTGGGCATGAATGCGGTCCATGCGTGTCTGCCATCGCCTGCATCCCTCTGCTGTTCCACCTCACAAGAACACCAGTAGGAATTGGGGAACTTGTGAAGAGACTTTCCTAAACCCTATGACACGCTCTCAGTACGCAACTATAAAACAGCGTTCTAGGGATCTATATACACGCGCCAAGGTTTAACAAAAGCGTCTTCCGTGCCTGCCAATGCAAACTGTAAAAATCGTCCGAAAAGAAAACAAAAAAAAACGAACATGAATATACATAAATATGTCGCCCCTTCATATGTACTCTTCTTACTGTTTTCTTGCATAGTGTTTGGGAGCAAGTTGAATAGTCGTCATGACACACACTAAACGCGACCATAAGATATTCGCTTTAGCAAGCCAGGTGCACTGCCTAAAACTTGAGAGCTACGTACAGGTCTTCCCAAGCGAAATGACGGAAACCTAACTTGAGAACCCTGATGTGAGGGGAACACTTCATTTCTTCCAGCCAATAGACCTTTTTGAAGAGAGTCACCTTGTGGCCTCCCCGAGAGCTCCAATATTGTCTCTCTAGTGGCGGTGATCATGCTCGGCCACGGCGTTCTAGAGAGTTGTAGTGGCAAGAGCGGCGGCTGCTGCGTGAAGATTTTGCGCGTAGACGCAACCGTGGGGCTGTTGTTCTGAGTCCTAGGAACGTGCCCTGCGTGTCCCCGTCAGCCTCGTCGTCGGCGCTGCTCGGCGTGTACTACTGTGGTTTGACTGGAGCTTTTCGCGACGCAGAACGATTGCTAATGTGAACAATTGTAGGTTTTCCTTTGCAATAATGCCTTGAGAATGTGGTCTATCCTCTACATTTATTATTAGCGTGTTTTTGATGGAGATCATGATGGGGACCCAGTACCGACAGGTCGTTCAGCAACGCTATCACTAGTGCTGTAGGCTAAATAGTGGCGAAAGAAACCACGCGATACTGTTATAGCAAAGAAAAATAGACAAATGGATCTCAAGAAATCTCTCAACGTTTTAATTGTGAGACGAACAATAAACTGGTGTATTGTTTTTTGTCACCGTGTTGCTGATGCGGGGACCAGCCTTGTGTAAGGTGCAAGGCCAAGCGCGTATGGAAACGACGCGAAGCAGTGTGTGTCTCCGCCTTTTTCCTTGCATTTATGACCGAGACTGGAACGGAACGCAGAAGACGCCCCACCATCAAAACAACAAAAAGAAAAGTACTACGGTGCTACAACACTGTAGTGTTACGTTCGGTACAAGCGCAACGCTTCGTCATCTTCTCCGCTCATCGCACATCTGCCATCTTCCACAAATTCTCCTAGGGCTCGGAACTCCAGCGCCACTCGCTGCATCTACGTTGGCCGTCTTCACGAGGCCCAATAAAACCGGGCGTCGCTCTTGCCACTACATCTCCAGAACACTGTAGCTCACTACCTCCTTTTCGTGTTTCGGAAATGAAGTAAAAGGAAAAACATATTTTCCCCTTTCTGCTCTATGCTTTCGAAGACGTTCGCTTTTTCTGGTGTTGATAAGCTGAGTAGTGCCGCCACTAGAACGTCGGGCTTTGCTCAGCACAATATGAGTAGACTGACTTTTGGAAGGGTCTATTGGCGTCGTGCGCGACCGAAAGCGTCGCGGTGGTCGGCCTTCCACGATTGGCCAAATGCTTACTATGACGTCAGCAAAGTTGTTTTCATGGACGGAAATAAGAGGAACGTGAGGACTTCAATTTTGACGGTGTTGAGAGTGTTTGTTCAAGAACGCTACGATTTCAAGCTTCCGCCATGCTAATACAAACACCTTGGAACTTGTTGTTCGCAAGGTAATGACGTCAGGAAAGTCACTGTACGAGGGAGCCACCGAAACACCTCGCCGCTAATGGGCCCGTGAATTCTTTCCTGCGTAGGTTACCCTTGCAGTGCTGAGACTACTGCCGGAATCAGGACGATTGCAGAATTCTCAGTGTAGCGGGTCCGCTCTTACGAGAACCGACACATTCGTTCAGCATGAGACAGCGTAAACGAACAAATCTAGCCAGGTCTACCTAAATAGTTCATGTGGCTTTGACAGGTTTACGGTAGAGCCACTAAATGACCTGCTCTTACAGTATCGGCACTCTGTTCCTCGACACTGTTGTGGGGGCAGCCATTTTGGTGCTTGTGCAGAGCAGATGCAACTGCTTATCGTCATTATTCAAAACTGCGACTTCTCAGGATTAAATTTGGTGTTAGGAAGCTCACGTAATCTTTCCTTGCGCTGTCGCGAAGTGGTTGAACATCTTTAAAGGACAAAAAGCGTTTCCTGTTATTTCCAGATAGAGCTTCAGGTAACTTGCAACCGCGATTTTAAGCATCAATACGGTCAGGAGTTGTTGCTCCGAAGCGTAGCTTATTTAGTGGCACTAGCCTACCTCATTCCCGCTACAGAAACAACCACCCGCGCAGTGCTTCCGAAGGCGTTCACATACGGCACTCGTTTACTGCAAACAGCATCGGTTGTGATTTTG